ATAGAGCGTACTCTTACTCGTGAATATGTTGATTTAACATGAAAAATCAAAGTTTTAATTAATAAATTTAATTTATATTTGAAATATGTATTATTAATATTTTATTAATATGTATTATTAATATTTTATTAATATATATTATTAATATTTTATTAATTAATAATAATACAAAACATGTTAAAAAAGTAAAGGGTTAAAAGTTAGAATATAAAAAGGTTAGGGTTAAAAGTTAAAAAATTAAAAGGTTAAAAATGAAAATATTTAAGTTTTGTCTTTAGCTGTTTTTTGTCTGTTAGTGTAGGAGGGGGTGGGATTTAGTTGGTAGCAGAGGTGGGGTTAGAAAACCCCTTGAATTATCATCTCTGTAATCGAATCGTCGTCTCTGTGATTTGTCGCCGTCGAGAGGCAGAGAGCCAGAGAGCATTGGAAAGGTAACGAGCAGGTGGAGGCGCTGTTATCAATGGGGCAAGTCTTATGCTTGATAGAGTAGTACCAGATGCATGGGAGGTTGTTTTTAAGACTTTTTGTGCATTAAAAAGTAGTACCAAATGCATTAGAAGATGTTGTTTTTAAGACTTTTGTTAAATCTGATTAAAAAGATGGTATAGATAAGGGTATTTTGGGAATTTATAAATTTAAGACTTTGAGTGAATATGCTTAATAAAGTAGTATAGATATATATATATATATATAGAGAGAGAGAGAGAGAGAGAGAGAGAGAACTATAAAAAGATTGAGGACCGTGAGGACTAATCTCAATCATTAAAATGTTTTAATCTATGGTCATTAAACATAGTGGTATTTTTGAAATATTAGTGAATGTTGTGTCTAATCTCACAATCTAATTTAAAAATGGAGGGGCATATTAGGATTTTTGTTATAACCCACCATTTTTGACTTTTTATAATGGCCTAGATTTTGTTACCGATTAGTCTTATATTTGATAAGTGAAAATTCTTGTACTAACTATTTAAACCCAATTTTCAGCCAAAAAGTCTTATTATGATAATTACCTCTCTCTTTCTAGAATGAAATTCTCTCTTTATCCAAATCAAACCGTAAACCTGCGGTTTGATTCATATCTCCCCATGCAACTAGGAAAATGATACATTGAAAGATTGAAGCTAACAATTGAAGAAAATGATTAGAAACCTGAAATATTGGTCATAAAAATCTTGAAGAATTGCTATTTGTAGAAGACATTCCAAGGCATGCTTACTAAATTTTTTATTGATGTCAAAGTTGGGGTATGAATTATGTTAGGGTTCATAGGGTTTTGATTAGTAAGTTAAACGCTTGTCAAATGATGTTAGTTTCTATGTTATTTTTGGTTAAAGAAGTTGAAAATTAAGATTTAATCATTTATTTGTGATATGGTAAAGTTAGATAGTTGATTCTTGATGGTTTTAGTGTCGAAATCTTTCAATCAATTATGAACACATGTGAAACATGTGTCAATTATATAACCATAACGACCCATTTGAACATGTACGAACACATATGGTCTTATCGAGAGAGATCTAGAACATATATGATCACAACATGAACGTATACATTTATAAACATTTTGATGTTCACATGTTCACATAATTGGATATTCAATAATAAGTTAACAAAAATAATGGGATTTTATGATTTTGTAAGTCCCAATTAATGATATGGGAGTTACAAAAAAAATTACATATTTACTCTTGTCATTAAATTTTAAGATGGATAGGAACCTATATATAAGATGTATGAAATAGTGCTCAATTTGCATAGATTGTCGAAAGTGATAAACTAATTGAAACCGTTAAAACCATCTTTGCTTGAACGGTTTGGGGTTTCTATCTTTAAAAAATGGAGCAGGTGGGTTTAATTTAAAGGTAACGTTAAAAAAGATGGAATGTCATTGGTTAAAAATAATTAACAAAGTTAACAGAATAAATTTGGTTAATATTTGAAATTGTCATGACATAATCGATTACAAGTTTAACGTCCCAAATGAATTGAGGACTTAGAAAAACTTTAATTACGGTAATTAATATTATTTAAAATAAGATAAAAAGTAAACTTTAATTAAAAATGATATATAACGATCCAAATTGTTTTCCTAATTTCCCTTTTTCTGATATTACCAAAAAATAAACAAAAAAGAAAGTGATGGAGGTTTAGCTGCTGCTCGATGTGATTCCAGAATTGTGCCAAATATGACTTAAAAGTGCAATGTTTGTTACTACTGCAGTCGCCACTCACTCTTGATAGCTATACTACGTACACATACAGTTTTAAAGATGTTAATGCTTAATTGCAAAATGAGTGTTTCATCACTATCTTCATGCTATGCTATGCATAAAGGCAGCAAATTTGAAGCCTACCTAAGCCCCAAAATGCTCAAGATTTATGCCTACACTAAAATGACAACTTATTTCCATGTACCTTTTCGTTATAAAAAATCATAGGAACTCCCCTAAATCTTAAATTAAGAAGGAATAAAATTGCCTTGTTGCACAAAATAACCAAGAGGTTTTTGAAAAACCGCCTTGCAATATTCTAAATTTGGAATTATCATGGACAAAGAGAACCAATCAAATCAACAAAATTGTAGATCATATAACAAGTGAAAGAAAAGCACAGCATTTCAGCAAACCAAGATCAAGTTTAAAATTCAACTGCAAACACCCTAAGAATATGAAATGTTTAAGCGAAACTTGAGCTTGGTGGTGCGCCTCCTCCATAACTGCCACCTCCACGACCAAAGCTCGGCCTTCCACCAGGACCCTGCACAGCAAGTTTCAGTACACTACAGGTTAGACAACCATGAATGAACCCATCAACACATATAACAAATACATACAGTAACAGTTGATAACTGAGCCATCATTTAAGAACCACGTTTAGATAGCAAGAAACTAGTAGCCCATCATCGCAATATGATACATATACAAAATTTGCTCTTCAAACATATCCTTCCTGTCCTTTATAGAAACTAATACCGTTCTAAGAAAACTGTCCTATGCTTGCAAACAAAAAACCTTCATTTTTATGGTAACAACCCAGTAAAGAGGTAAGTTATTTCCAACTTCAAAACTTTTAAAAGAAAGGAAATCTTCAGTTTCATGGGTATCTCATGAGGAAAAATATGGTAATTTTCAATAAAACGGAAAAAGATGACAGAATGGTTCGAGCCAGAGTTGCTACAGCTGTGTGATCTCATAACAAAAAGAGTGCAAACATCAGCAAATATGGGTTTCATTTCAAACTATAACTCTACTGAACCTACTTAAAATGTTATCACAATCAAGAAAGCATCCTTATCACATATTTTTAAGATCACAACCACCAAATTGTTAATTGTGTTTGAACATTATACCTCAATATACGAGCATTAAACAAGTTCAATGCTAAGACTGAAACAGATTACATGCAAATTTAAAGCTTACATTTTTGTGATCAAAATTCAAGTCTATAATACAACTAGTGTTCGAGATTTGGTATCAAGAGGGTCAAACTATAAATGGAATCTCAAAACATTAATCTCTACCATGTTGAAGCCCCAAGAAATCCATTACGCATAAAAATTTGTTTAGCATCTTATAGAACAGCTTGTGGTCCAAGTGGAACAAGCAAACATCTGATACCCCAATGCTGACCCCAAAAATAGCATCAGCATCAAAAAGATTCTCAAGGAAGGCCAATAACTAAAACTACCAATATCTTCCTACCTGGGATTTAAGAACAGTTTAACTGCAATGCTCCTACTATATGAATATCTATCATAAAAGCATGCAAGAAAACCAATGATTAATGGAAGCATAGAGGCAAACATTACCCTGTTAAAAGCAGGCTGGTAATCCGCCGGAGCTCCACCCTTTTCACCACCAAATTCACCAGGAGGCCCTCTAGGTCCACCACGGTATCCATCCCTATCACCAAATCTCGGCCTGTCTCCTTCAAATCTTGGCGGGCCACTGAAAAACAAACATTAATTATACAACAAAATAGAAAACTAAGAGAAAAGAGCAGAGCAGTATTAGATAATTACCGAGGACGGTCTCCTGGAGGGCCACCCATGGGACGTCCAAGTGGCTTAGCTGACTTCTTGAGAGTAGCAGGCACAATGTCGGAAGGAAGATTCAAGTAAGTCCTGAGGAACTCGATCCCATCGTTCGTGAGATACCAGTAATAGTGCATCCACGCAAATGTCTCACGTACATATTCCTTTGATTTAAAGCTTTGCATCAGCTTAATCACCTGCAAGTTCGGCACATCGATCTCCGGATGCTTTGCCAAATTGTAGTCCTTCTTGGCAAAGCAAACTCCCTCTATATGTTTAATAAATGCATACCAAACAAAAAATCAATCACCATGAAACGCGCAGCATACATAGATATACGCATAAAGAGGGAATAATTAGAACCTTGAAAGAGGTACTTGGAGATGGCCTTACGATTCTTATCAGGAATAATCTGAAAGATAGCAACAAAAATGAATGTAAAACCGTAATCTCACATGACGTTAAGCATTGTTCTCTTTCTAAAAAATTAGAGACGATCGTGATGAAGACGAAGAAGAAGAGTTACCATGGTTGCTGTTTGGAAAGGGGAAGGCGGAAGAGATCAGAGGAAATGGTTTTCTTCTCACAATCCGCGCAGCATCAGAAACCCTAGAATTAGATAAATAAATAAGAAGGATAATTTGGTGAGGCCCAACTGAATGGGCTTTTACACTTTTATTTATTCTGGGCTTCTAAAGTGTATATTTATCTATACTATATTATAAAGCATTTGGCTAAA